AACAAAACCCGTTGCCATCAAGTCATAGTGACCCTTTTGGTTAGCAGCCAAACACTTAACCACTGTGCCGCTAGGGCCCCTTTCAAATAGCAGGGGCTCAATATTTGGAATGTTACAATGGTTGCATGAATAAAAGAGTGAATGGTTACTCTATGGTAAGCACTGGAGACACAGAAATGAACAAGGCGTAAACATGGGTCTTAAAGAAAAACCAACACATTCATTTATAACTTAATTCATATATTCAGCAAATATTTATTTACTACTTATTTTCCAGGATTTTACTAGGTGTTACAGTAAACAAAACAAGCATGATTTGCTTCCTAAAGGTGAAGACATATCACATAATAATCATACAAATAGCTATAGAATTAAAATTATTTAAGTACAAATTATAAGTATAAGGTATCATGAAAATATAGAACTGGAGGACCCAATCTAGATGTAGAAGGCAGTGAGGGGAGACTGGAAAAGACCCACCGAGAAAATTATATGTAACCTGAGTCTCAAAGGTAAAAAGCTACAAGATTTATTGTTATTATTAGGAATAGGGAGATGACTATAGTAACTTGACAGAATAAGCAAGGAGGAGACTGGGGGGCTACCGCAAGAGGAAGGAGTTAAATCACGCAAGCCCAAAACCTTCCAAAGATTTTGAACAATGGGAAACTGAGAAGTGACATGATCACACCTGCATTTTATACAGATCACAAGATTGTTTTATGGAGAACAGCTGTGAGGAAGAAATAACAGTAACTGTTGGAAGACCTTTTGAAGGAAACTGTGGAAATCCAGAGGCGATATGATAGCATCATCTTAGATACGACAGTGGCAGGTGATAAAAAATGTCCAAAATTGAGGTTATTTTGGACATAGATCCAAAAAAGAAAACATGGTAATGAATTAAATGTGGAAGAAAGGATATGGTGTGTGGAAAGGGAGACATCAGGGAGGATGTTCAGGTTTTGGCTTGAGCAACCAGTTGGAAGGAAAGGAAGCAGTGGGAAAACTTAAAAAAGAAAAAAAAAATTTTTTTTTTCTAAATGATCAAAATAGTAGTATTGGACATATTAAATTTGAAACGTCTGTAAGATGTCCAAACAAACATGTCAAGAAAGCAGTTGAATATCTGGGTCTGAAGATCAGAAGAGATCTTCAGAAAGATGCATATGTAGGAGTCGTGTGTATGTAGATAAAATTTAAGCAATGAGAATGAATGAAATCACCTAAGGAAAGTGAAAAGTGAAGCATAAACGGGGCCCGGAACCAAGACGAGATATACTCCAACAGTCACTCCTTAGTTAGAGGAGGAGGAGCCAGTAAAGAGGATGGAGACAATATCAGGATTGAGAAGGTATGAGGAAAGGTAGGAGACTGTACAATTATGAAACCCAGGAAAAGAGATTATATCAAGTATGATCAGGTGCGAAGAATAAGAGGCCACATACACTGAATAAATGTCCATAGTATTTATTAACCTGAATTCATGACTTAAAGAAGAGCAACTTTACTGGCAGTAGTGAAGAAGGAAGCCAGAATTGTGAAGGTTCACGAATAAATGGCAGGTGGGGAAAACTGTTACATATACAAATAGTTACAACAGTGTGTTATGTGATTCCAGCATGTTCAAAATGCTGTGGTAGCCCAGAGGAGCCTGTCTTAGACATCTAGTGCTGCTATAACAGAAATAACACAAGTGGATGGCTTCAACAAACAGAAGTTTATTCTCTCACAGCCTTGTAGGCTAGAAGGCCAAATTTAGGGCATCAGCTCCAGGAAAAGGCTTTCTCTCTCTGTTGGCTTGGAGGAAGGTTCTTATCATCAATCTTCCCCTGGACTAGGAGCTTCTCAGCACAGGGACACCAGGTCCAAAGAACATGTTCTTCTCCTGGCATTATTTTCTTGGTGGTATGAGATCCCCATGTCTCTCTGCTCACTTCTCTCTTTTATATCTCAAAAGAGATTGGCTTAAGACAAAATCTAATCCTGTAGATTGAGTCCTGCCTCATTAGTATAACTGCCACTAATCGCATCTCATTAACATCATAGAGATAGGATTTACAGCACTCAGGGAAATCACATCAGATGACAAAATGCTGGACAATCACACAACACTGGGAATCATGGTCTAGCCAAATTGATACACATATTTTTGTGGGACACAATTCAATCCATGACAGAGCCCAAGAAGTTTTCCAACAGAAACAGCATTTGAACTGAGTCTCAAAGACTTAGAAAGAGTTCATTTATGTAGAAGGGTAAAGAGGAATATTCTGCTTAGATGGAAGGGTCTGTATCAACACTGAAAAAATAACAACAATCACAATGATAGTGACAGAATGTTTACGGAGTGTTTGCTATGTGCCAGAAACTGTTCCAAAAGCTTTGCATGTATTAATCCAACTAAATTGCACAGTCTCTTCCTTTCACTTTCACCACCTTCACCATTTTCTCTTGCCTAGACTATTACAATAGCCTCACAGCTGAGTTTTCTCATTCTGTCCTTGCCTTCTAGTATACTCTCAGACCAGCTAAAGTGACCTTTGTAGAATGAATGTTAAATCATGTCATTCCGCTCTGTAACTCTCCAATGATTTTTCCTTTCTCAGAGTACAAACCAAAGTCCTCACCATGGCCCACAAAGTCCTTCATGATCTGGGCTCCCACTGCCTCCTTGACCTCATCTCTTATTTTTCTCTCTACCACTGTGGTCCAGTCAGATTGACATGCTGGATGTTTCTCAAAAATCGAGTGCTCTTCTGCCTCAGAGGCTTTGCACTTGCCATTGTCTCTGCCTGGAATGCAAGTCTTTAGATATCCCACATGACACAGTTCCTCACTGACTTCATGCTTCTTTCTATTCAAACATCATCTAACCAGCAAGTCTTTCCCTGACCTTCTTATAATTAACATCCCCCAAATCTTCCAGCACCACTATCCTCTATATTCTTTTTCTCCTTAATATTTATCACAATCTTATATACTTTGCAATTATTTATTTATTTGTTTCTTGCCTATCTCCCCCAACTAGACTGGAAGGGAAACTCCATGAAGGCAGGAACTTTGTTCTTTCTATTCATTGGTATATCCCCACAGATGAGACAGTGTCCAACACATGTCAAAACCTGCAAAGCATATGACATCTTACGCTACTTGAAAGCTAACTAGTTAACCTGCCACAGTTTAGTGGACACTGGCAGAAGACAGAGACTCCTGGGTCAGAGAAAAAAGACTTAATTGTTCAATAGAAATAACCAGAGTGTCAGCACTCGTGCTGGTTCCCCAAGAGGGCCAAGCAATACCTGCACAGAAAATGTGGTGTGTTACAGAAGAAGAACACCAAGTTTTTATAATCCAAAATCTCACCTGAGCGGAGAGAGATTTTATCTTTATTATGTTGTTAGAGTCTTGTTAGCTGCCATTGAGGCAGGCCCTGACTCATGACAATCCCATGCACAATGCTGCTGGTCCTGTGCCATCCCTGTGACTGGTTGCAGATTAGATCTTTGTGAGCCATAGAGTTTTCTTTGGCTGATTTTCTGAAGCAGATTATGAGGCCCTTCTTCCGAGTCGATGTTAGTCTGCAAGCTCTGCTGAAACATGTTCAGCAAGATAGCAACACATAAGCCTCGACTGACATACAGGTGGTGGCTACGCATGAGATGTATTGGTTGAAAATAAAATTCAGGTATCTCTTATGGAAGCAAGAATTCTACCACTGAAACACCAATGCCTTACATCTTTATAATATTTGACAGTAACCAAACTAGCTCTTTGTTCCCAGGGTGACACTATTTTCATCTTCCAAAAGACAGCCTGAGACGTAAGCACTGAGTGCCTCTACTCACAAGACATGCAAAAACACAAGAAAGAATGAATTTTCTCCCAGCAACACATTACAGATACTTAATAGATACGTTTTAATGTATTGAACCCTACAAGTTAGATAATATTATTGTTTCTGTTTTCAGATGACTAAACTGAGGAACAGTAAAAATTAGCTAACTTTCCAAGAACATGCAGTTAATAAGTGGTTCCAGCATGCACATCCTAAGGAACTGGGTCCTTCCTGTCTCTAACCTGTCCATCTATCATCTACACTAGGTTTGTGAATGGTTGACAGAAAGAAGTGGGGGAGGATGGGGGGAGTTAAAGCTAATAAGAAAGGGAAGACCTAAAGAAAAGAAAGAATGCAGAGGGATTTTTAGACACAGCTATCTGCTCATATATCCAGAAAACAGGGACCTTAGAGACCAGGTATTTACACCTACCACCAGGGGTGGATTACCCACTAAGGGGTGGATTATCACCATAATCTTTGATATGGTGAAACCGATGTGAAATTGGTCACTACAGATTAGTAAATAAGCACAAGTAAGCCCGTGCTTACCTTGCTTAATGGGTAATCCATCCCTGTCAGGGATTGTAAATTTGAAAAGAGGCTTTGATTCTGCAGTAAGGTGCTGAGGGGTTGGGAGAGAGACAGATGCTAGCAATAGCTAGAAGCAGAATCTTTGATGTAGTGAAAAAAATGTGAAATTGTCCACTACAGATGATCCAGTAAGAAAGGTAAGCACCGTGCCTACCTTGCCTATTGGATAATCTGCCTCTGCCTACTACATTATGTAGTTTACACCTTATAAATTTCACTTACAGATGAGAAAACTAGGGCTTCAGAAGGGGAGGGTCTTCCTATAATCATGGAGGGAGTTAGGGATAGAGCTAACTAACCACCAGACATATTTTCCTGAGAGAATCTTAGCTTGGATATTTTAGCCTCTCACCCCCCTTTTCCCTTTCTTACACAGGCGTCATTCCTGGAACCTGGGAACTAGGCTATAAATGAGCCAATCAATAATCCAGGAGGTCTGTGACACAGCGCAGCAGGTGGAGTCTGTGTTGCCATCCCACATATATAAGTCTTCCAGTCCTAGGGTTCTGGAGAGAAGTGATAAGCTCGCTATAGTTTTCAACACAGCTCTGGACACAGAACTTCAGCTATGAAGATAATAAGCATCTTCCTGCTCAGTGCCTTGGCCCTGTTCAGCTTATCTGGTAGGTGTCTTTGCACATTTTTCTGATATGAGTAAAAACTTTTTGACCTGTTGCTTTGCTGAGTACATTACTCTCTAGACTTTGAATTAGTCTTAGATCTTTCAGTCTCAATGACATGAAATAAGCTCAGTGGATGGGAATCGTAAGACAGATTTTAATGAAAGATGGAGAAAAAGTATCTACAAAGTGAGGACTGTTCTGAGATGGTTTTCCTCTAGTGACTAGGGGCTGACACTTGTCAGAGATAAGGTAGAGAAAAGAAAGTGGAATTGTTTCAACCTGGAGTACGATTCTCACTTTGTAAAAGCGTAAGGCAAATTTACAAATTTTAAATTCCCATGGAACTACATTACAATAGGTAACAGTGTCTTTCAGTTATTCAGTATAAAGGCTGAGTTTTATCGATTTAAAGATTTATTTATTGATCTTCAGAATGTTTCCAGGAAAAACATTTTGCTTGAATAGATGATGCGTGTATATCCCTCAACTATATCTTGGCCATGTTAGCAGACAATTTTGACTCCATGAAATTGTAATGAGCTTCTTTTTTGTCACTGGAAATAGTTAACACTTTCAATTTTATCTCAGATCATGTGAAGAAATTTACTGAGAGTCAAATAAGCACCTTGCTAAGAAGAGGAAGAACATTGTGTGTTAGCTACATATTTATGGAAGTGGTTGGCCCTTTTCCCCTCATGCATATCAGGTCATACAAATAGATGCCTGTGGTGACCACTTGCTCATCAATTTTCAGACTCAAGGAGATTCTGACCTATGCGCCCTTAACAAGATCAGATTTTGACTATTCCCAGGCACCTTCTTCTCCAAGCCCATAGACGCTTCACTAATTTTCACTATGCTTAGCTAGGAAAAACTAGCTCCTTACCCAGATCAAGATCCTTAGGTGGCAAAAACAGTTGGCAATTAACTACTAACCTAAAGATTGGCAGTTCCAACCCACCCAGTGGTGCCACAGAAGAAAGGCCTGGTGATCTGCTTCCATAAAGATTACAGCCAAGAAAACCCTATGGAGCAGTTCTACTCTGTAACACATGGGGTCACCATGAGTTGGAATCAACTTGACAGCAACAGGTTTGATTTTGGTTTACCGACATATCCTCAGAGATTGTGGGTAGCAAAATCAAATCTCACCAATATTTCCTCCTTTGGGTGCTCTCAGATTAGTTTCCCCTCCCCTCAATGAACTCAGACACAGTTACTATTTCCTGCATGATGTCAGTAAACCTCCTGTTTTCTGGGGAATGCAGAGTGGTTATTCTGACCATCTATCTGTACGTCCACAAAATGTGGATTGGACCTATAACCAGTCAATGTAACACAACTGTTGGAAATAACTCTCTTGGGAACTGATGGTGAAGTCTCAATAGGGTTCCATTTTTTAACATTAGTTACAAAAGAGGACTTAATAGTGGTTACTGGAAGTGGGAAGAAGGGAGAAAGGGAGAGTTTTTGCTTAGGGAACATTTAGTTTATGCTAACGATGGTGGAATAATTTGGGAAAGAATAGCAAGAATGGTTGCACAACTTAAAGAATGTAATCAATGTGACTATATTATACATGTACAGATTGTTGAATTGGCATATGTTTTGTCATGTATATTTTCACTACAATAAATAGAGAGAGAGAGAGCTTAAATGTAATTGCAAAAGTTAATTTCACGTTACTCAGACGTGGTTACTACTAGTGGTAACTGTGCCACAACTAATCATATAAACTCTCCATAACTTCATCCATAAATTAAGATAAAGATACTAACTACATCACTAAGTAATTGTGAGGATCAAAGATGTAACTAGTTAAGAGAATGTTAGTGAGCATTCAGCAGATATTTGCTCAGTGCTTGATACATTTCAAGCAGTAAGTACATTATTTCTATTTTCAAGGAAATCGATCGACATATCTGAAACACTAAATTTAATTATTTTGGTCATGATTAAGCATTTGTTAAGTTTTTTCCAGGTTTCTATAGGCAGGGATAGGATCCTGTCATATATCCTTGAGAAAGGATGGAAATAAGAAAGTGTGGGGTGTGGAAGAGGACATCAGAGAAGTCAGAGTCTTCAATGAAAGCAGAAAATTTTGAATGTGAATACATCCGGCCTCCCTCATCTTAGACTCAACATGTCTGATTTATGTTTTCTAGGTAACACTAGAGCTAACTGCCTGGGAAGAGAGGTAAAAAGAATTTTGTAATTTCTTATTTATTAGGTCGAACTTTTGTTCCAATCAAAGAGCAGTATAGCTATCATCTTTCAATTGAACTCGAAGCCAAGATGATGAGTGTGAATGTTAGCAAAGCTTGACCGGCAAAATCCAAATAGTAACCGCACTCTCTTACAGACTTACGTTTAAGGACAAATTCCCTGTTACAGAGGCAAATATTATGTAGTTATATAATGCTTGTTGTAAGGGGGTTTTATAGATACTAGGACTAGCCAGTCCCTGGGTGGTACAAACGGTTAAGTGTTGGGCTACTAACCAAAATATTTGTGGTTTAAACTCAGATCATAGCTATGAAAACCATATGGAGTGCAGTTCTACTCTTAAACACATGGGGTCTCCATGAGTTGGAATTGCCTTAAGGGCAACTGGGTTAATTTTGGGGTGTTGTTGTTGTTATTGTTTTAGGGCTAGCCAGTAGGACAAGTGTTTCGAGTAGAAACTTTCTCAACTACACTACACACAGCCCTTCCTCCTTAAAGCCAGTTTGACCATGTTGGCATAAAGTTCCCCCAGTCACAAAGGTGGAGCTCTAATTTGTAATGAATAACAGCAACAAAAAAGAATAATAAGCTAGGTCCTTCTTCTACAAAAATATTCTGTATCTAATTCCATTTTTTCCCTTGTGTTTATAAAATAATTTCAGTAAATTTGAAGACCAGAAGAAGTGCCCCTCTTCCCATTACACTTATATCTAGTGAGGATGTAGTTGATAAACCAAAAGTCCATGAATGAGTAAATGTTACATTTGTGATAAGTGTTATGCAGATATTCTTGTACCATTAGGAACGTAGCCTAGTTAGCGCGATCAAGGAAGGTAACCCTAGGTAAGTGAGATTTATTTTGAGCCATAAGCATAAATAAGGGTTAGCAAAACATAACTTATGATGAAAGTAGTGCAGTGAAGTGAGTAAGAGCTAAAGCTCAGGAACTAGAATGACTAGGTTTGAATCCTGGATCCAACAATTACTAGCTATGTGACTTGGGTGATTTAATTTCAGTATGCCTCATTATCTTTGCTTGAGGAATGAGTATAATAATATTAAGTTCATAAGACAGTTGTGAGGTTTAAACAGAATAATACATAAAAAGCATTTAGGACAGTTTCTGGTCTATAATAGTCGCTTAATGATTACTGACTCTTATTGGAGTAGAGGAAACAGACTGTACAAAGACTCCAAGGGTAGAAAACACTTAGTGCTTTTAAGTGACTATGAGAAGTCCAATGTGAATGGACAATAGTGTACAAGGAAGAACATGCTCCAGCATGAGGCTGACCTGAGAAAAGCCAGCACCTGTAGTAACTGTGAACTTGAACATTATCTCACTAATCTTATTTAAACCTCACAACACCACTATAAAATCATTCCCATTTTGCAGATGAAGAGACTGAGGTTTTGAGAGGTCACGTGACTTTCCAATGTCACAGAACATGTAAATAGCAGAGACATTACTTAAAACCGGGTTTTCTGACTCCAAATTTGGAATTATTTTCTCCTGGAACACAAAGTATCACTCTCTTAACTACAGTCGCACTTCCATCTTTAAGCTGAACAACTCCAAGGAGGATAAAACCACTTTAGACATTTTACTATAAACTCAAAGAATGGAAAATGACCCTGTTTAAATCCACTTTTAGGCTGTATGTCCCAGTGATGTTAATGGATGCCCCAGGATCTATAACCCTGTATGTGGGACTGATGGAAATACTTATTCCAATGAATGCATGCTATGTTTTGAAAATAAGTGAGTATAAGCTTGAATTTTTTTTAAATATGTATTTTATGCTAGTTGTTTTCAAACGTTATGTATCTGATGACTCAAAAGACCCAGTAAGTATGCCAATAACATGGATAGTACAGTGAAAGAAATAAAAAGTTTACTTTCTCCAAAAATAATTAACTTTTTCTTTCTCTCTTTTTCATACATCTGGTGTGAGTATAATAGATGTGTGTGCACGTGTGTATGTATGTGTGTGTTTATCATGATAAAAATAATAATTATTGTGTCAATTGTTGTGCTAGGCACTTAATATTAAAGTAAATAAGAATGGAAAAGTTAAATCATACGAGCCCCATCATACATATGAAGAAACTGAGACACAGTTTAAATAACTTGCTTAAGATCACCTGGTAATAAGTGGCAGCTCTGGGACCAAATTCGTGCTCTTTCCACTATGCTGAAAAGTTGAGTAGCAGGCTAAGTATCTGTGGTAAACAGGAAAAGAATTTGACATGTTCTGTCCCTCAAGACCCTCACATGCAACACTATTACAGTGTCGTCAGTACAATAATACAAGTATGAATGAGCAAAGTGCTCCAAAAAAACAAATAATTATGCTGCTAGGATTTGGGAAAAGTTTGGAAGCTTTCTCTAGGCAATAAAAAAGCAGAGACATTCCAACAAGGAGGAAAAAAAACTGAACAAAATATAGAAAGGAGTTAATAGCATATTGCAATATAAGATGAATATAAAATGTATTAAGGAAAAGATGATGCAATAGAGGAGGGAAAATATTTTAATGGCTCTCGTAATTAATAAAAGTATTACTTGTATGATAAAATTCATGTTTTACAATAAAATAGTAGGTACTCTGAGTTTTAAAAAGCTCATATGCAAAAACTAGCTTTAATTAATAAAATAATTCTTGGTGATAGTAATGATTGTGTTTTCTAAAACTCGCAAATATGAATTGCATAGACTGGGTGACAGCACTTTTATCTGTGGATAGGAAAGCCAGCCTCAGTGAAGCTTCTCTTGGGAATCAGACTCAAGGAGTTCCAAGAAATAGATTTCCCCCGATCGTTTCTATTTTATACAGAAACTGACCACTCCATGTGCCAAGCATTGTGCTATTCTCCCTGTATTTTTCTTGTGTTTATGACTAAGAAAAAATGGATCATGATCACAGATAAGATAGCTTCTTGTATCTTATGACGATTTCCATAAAAGGAGATGTAAGTAAAATGTTACTAGGGTGAAGCAGAGATACAGATTTTTTCTTAATGAAAGGAGCCAAGAAAGGTTTCGTGAGAAGGGTGTTGTTTAAATAGGGATCTGAATTTTAGCAGTATCACAAGAACATTTTGGGTTAAATAAAAGTGTAGAATGATCAAAACAAATAGGAAAGATTCCACAAACGACAGGAATCTTCTGAGTTATTCTGGGACTGGATTTGTCACTAAAGACTTTGATTTAGGCTCAAATGACAATGAAAATTTAAATTATACAATGGCATAAATACCCTTCCTTATAACACAACCCCCTCTCCTTTTTGGGGGCGGGGGGAGGCTACTTTAAACCATTTCAGAAAATTCTCAAAGTTCGGTGAGGATAGTGGACATAGGGCCCTGGAGTGAGAGGTCTAATTTCCTGAAGTTTTAGACCCAAAATATTAAGTATCCTGCTTTATGGTGAATTTGTTTCTGTAATAAAAACTCATAAAAGGAACTTAAAACCACTTGTTAGTTTTCTCATGACCTATGTTGTTAACATAAAGGTCAAACATCATATTTCCATCCAAGGGGAGGAGAAAACAACAGAAGAGCCTTGAGAACTGGGGAATTTCCAAGTACTAAGGCTAAAAGGCCCAATTTTTAGAGTGAAAAATTGGGAAAATATGGGCATAGAGCTAGAACACCCTATTCTCTTTGCCCTTAAAACCTACCAGTCCCTACTTGTTCTTTATATTCTTTCCAAGGCATAATAAATGGGAGAGAAACATTTGGAAGCCAGTAAATGTAACTTCTCTTCCTATTTCCCAGATAAAAAAAAAAATGAAGCCTAGACAGAAGATTTGACTTTCTGAAATGCACCCTATTTTCTTATGCACTGTATTGCCTTTATTTCTATTGCCCATTAAAAGTTCAAAACAAATCCATTGCATAGTAACTAGGGCCAAGCTTTGGTACTGGTTGTTGGATTTGGAGGCTGATAGATAGCAACAAGAAATCCCTGGGTGGCACAAATGTTTAAGCATTCGACTACTAGCCAAAAGGTTGCTGGTTCAAAGCCAACCAGAGGTGCCTCTGAAGACAAGCCTGGCAATCTGCTTCCAAAAGGACACAGCCTTGAAAACCCTATGGAGTCATTCTATTTTGCACACATTGGGTTGCCATGAATTGGAATCAACTCAATGGCAACTATCAACCACAACAACAAACAAAGGTCGTTGTGTGCTTGGTAAATATATTCAGTTAAGACTTTTTCTTTTATGTCTCCATAGAGAATCTCTACTGGGGGATTCTTTTCGATAGACCAGTGCTGTACAATAGAACTTTCTGCAGGGACAGAAATGCTTTCTATCTATGCTGTCCAGTAGGTAGCCACTAGCCACATGTGGCTATTGAGCACTTAAAACGTGACTAGTGAAACAGAGAAACTGAATTTCTAATATTACTTAATTTTAACTAATTTAAGTAGCCACATATTGGCAAGCACAGCAATAGAAAATAAGTGAACTCTCTCATGCTTTATTTAGATAATTGTACTGTGTACGTTAACTGATTCAGAAATAAGTATTAGAAGGGATTAATGACTGTGGGGCAAGAAAGGATTGAAAACCATTAAAATGAAGAGCCAAGAAGATCCAAATAAGTAAATGTATAAAAATAAATGGAAGTCCAATGTCCTCAAGTAATAGAACAATGGAAGAATTTTTATAAGCCAGTATACTCAAGGAAAAAATCGTTAGAAAAGTGAGAGATCTGGTAACAGTCTTATGAGAAACAATTACAAAATCTAGAGGTATTTAGCTAAGAGAAGAGAAAGCTGGGGAAGAATGGTGTTGGGGGGAGCAAAGAAGTTTTTATAGAGAGTAGGGGATGCTTAAAGCTGGCAGGTGTCACATGTGATGGAGCTATAACTTGTTTCGTGAGATCTCACAGATATGAAACCTCAGAATTGTAAGACCGAAGAGCAATCAATTAGAAGGTGTTGCAATAGCCTAGGCATCAGCTAAGACGGGAACCTGGTGGCTAGGGCAGTGAAAACAGGGGCAAAAAAAAGCAGCAATGGAATAGAGATGAATTTCAGAGGTTCACTGTAACGCATCACTAGCTCTGCAAACTCCATAAGGGCAGACATTTTTCTTCTCTCTATATTCCTAGTGTACATTATAGTACAGTATTCAATAAGTATTTGATGAATTAATGATTAAAGAATGAGAGAAATAGACATGGGAATAAATCTCAAGCCTTTCTGTATTAAATAAAGGGTCTGTTTTTGTTTTTCCTCCAATAGGCTACTTTTTTGTCAGAAAAATTAAAGCTGATTTTTTTTCATTCTCTCCTACAGGAAGCGCCAGATTCAAGTCCGTGTTCTAAAATCCGGCCCTTGTTGAGAACTGAGGTTCTAAAATCCTATAAGGTCACCACAATGCCTGGCTGGCCTGATGGTTGAATAAATGCATCTGAATACTTCTGTTGTTCCCATGTGCTTTTTTCTAAGGCATGTTTGATCATACTGAGGGCAGGGGACTTTGACAGGACTCAGAACGGACCAAGTTTTACAAAATACAGCATTCCTGTAATTCCAGATGGGGTTTTCTTCCCTCACTATGCCATTTCCTTCCCCACCTCCTGCACATACCGAGGCCTCTGCCTTGGGAAATGTGATTGCCATATCTTTCAGATATTAAGAGACAGGACACAGTTGGTCATGAATACATTTAAATCCAAAGAGGATTGGACTATGATTTCAAGGAACAGTTCGAAATCTCTCCATCCATAAAATTGTTGCCTATCACCTTCCACTGACTGAAATAATTCCTTTAAATTAACTTGGACTTTAATTGATCATCTATTGTCCCTGGTATAGTTCTGCTGTTGTATGTCATGAAGTCGATTCTGACTCATAGCGACCTCATGTGACAGAGAACTGCCCTATAGGTTTTCCTAGGCTATAATCTTTACAGGAGCAGATCGTCAGGTCTTTTTTCCCGTGGAACCACTGGTGGCTTCAAACCACCCATCTTATGGTTAGCATAAAACCACTTAACCATTGTGCCGCCAGGGCTCCTTGGTATGGTCCTAGGTACTCAGATAGAAAGATTTCTAAGAACTGTCCATTTGGTGGAAGAGAGTTTAGTCCTTGAAATCACCAGTATATGTTAGAACATAGATTTTAGGTCAGACATGATCGTTAAAACGAGATTCTGAGTCACTGAGTAAACAAAAAAAGCTACATTTTCTCAGAAATTCTATGGAGTAGCCTCTGACCAAAACCAAAAAACCAAATCCATTGCTGTTGAGTCAATTCTGACTCATAGCCACCCTGTAGGACAGAGTACAGCCACCCCATAGCACTTCTAAGGCTGTAAATCTTTACAGAAGCAGACTACCATATCTTTCTCCTGTGGAGTGGCTGGTGGATTTGAACTGCCGACCTTCGCATTTAGCAGCTGAAGGCTTTAACCACTATACCACCAGGACTCCTTGCAGCTGCTGGACTTTGCGTTAATTCTTCCCCAGAAGAGGCAATTCCCCTTAGTTACTTAGTATTAAAGCAGCATTGTTGATTTTCTCTGGTAACCTAAGATTTAGATGGAAGACTTCCTCTAGGGCTGCATGGGAAATCTGCTTCACAGGGCCTAACAGATTTGTGCTGAGCTAACCAGAGGGTAGGAGCCCTGGTGGCACAAGTGGTTAAGCGCTCAGCTGCTAACCGAAAGGTTGGCGGTTCGAACCTACCAGCTGCTCTGCAGGAGAAAGGTGTGGCAGTCTGCTTCTGTAAAGATTTACAGCCTTGGAAATCCTATGGGGCAGTTCTACTCAGTCCTATAGAGTCACTATGAGTCAGAATCAGCTTGATAGCAATGGGTGTTGGCAACCAGAGGAAAAAAGACCTGATTCTGAATTAACTTGGGAATGATCTCTTCTCCACCAAACCATCGCCAAGAGATAATCTGACAAAGAAGGAAGGGACTATAGACCAAATGAACTGATTGTGAGGACTGTATGCAGTTTACTTTGCTTTATATGTGAAACACATACCATGTGTTTAGAGAAGGGATACCTTGTGAGTAAAAGAGATAATTTAATTAACCTACTAAATTTCACCAGAAAACAAGGCGGCAGAGTTGGGCTTTCAATCCAGGGGTGACTCCAAGTCTACTGCTTCTTCCACTAAACCGGGTCACCTCACATGGATTAGTCCTCGCATATTAAAAGGGCCCAACTGTTTATATTCAGGGACAGTAAATAAGATAAAAAATAAGAAAGTATACCCTCCCCTCTAAATAAAGTACTTACAACTACTACAAAAGGGAAGGAAAAGTAGTTTGAATTTCTGAGTTCATAAAGAAGTAGCCTAGAATAGAGAGGTGGATCGGATACTAAAAGAGCCTGAGATACATCACGTTCCCTGGTGTACCACAAAGAATAGTTCACCCATTGAAACAGAAATGGCCCATCAAAATCTATTCACAGTTACAAAACACAGTTGCCTAACAGTCCAAGGTTTAGGTTAATTTCTTGTGCTATTCACAGTATGCACATCTTAAGGTTTAAATCTGACCACTAGAGGTTGCTGTGGTCTGCCAAGTGACTCAGCCAACTAAGAACCTAACAGCTATATTATGTTACCAGAATGCATCAAGCTAGCAGAAGTTATGAATGCAAGATGGCTTCCAGAATCGCTTCTGTGATGCTAGAGGACATCTGAAGGGCACCCCTAACATTAAAGAACTTTGTTGTGGTAAACAGAACTTAAATCGTTTCTAATTGGACCATTTCACAGATCCAGAGAGGAAAAAGGGGCTTGGAGATTGTAGGCAGAGGCAAGATATAAAGCCAGGTTGTCTGCCTTTAATGGTTCTGCTGTTTCAGAGCCATTGAACATTTGGATACCTTTTAGAAGAGATATTTACAAACTGGAATGTGTTTAGAGAAGGGAAACTACCAACATTGCTAAGAATTGGAAGCTTTAGCCTTTGATGAGTGGTTGAAAGAAGTAGGAATATTTTAGAAAAAGAAAGTCAAACACATGGAACATAGTGGGCATTTTCAAACAATTAATATTCTCTTGAATACTCTTTTTTGTTGCATAAATAAATGGAGAAGAGGAATGAACAAGTTCTGTCCATATTAAATCCAGGACCACAGAACTGCAGGTAAACTCCAAGCAAGCACAGTCACAGTGCCAAGAGATTTCTGTACAGGTTCCACTATTGATTTCAGAGTATTTGAAATACGAAGCTACCTGAAGACAGAAGTCTATCAAAAATATTTTTTGTCCCATTGGAGAAGTAAACTACATATTTAAAATTAAACATTTTTAAAAAAGTTAGACCATGCTTCTTAAGAAAGAGCAACATGAAAAATATTGAAGTTTTATTTCAGTTTCTCTGACTCAGTTTATGCCCTGAAAATGTTAGTTTATTGCAACCAAGTAGAAATAAAATGTATTTGTATTATAAAGGATGCGATTAAATTAAAAATGTGCAAAGCTATTTTTCAAAGCCCTAGCACTGCCAAAAATTTCCTTTGTTTTAGTTCAATGGTGAAACAGTAGCTAACTTTTAGCTAAAAATATGGAACATGTAGATAATAAAATAGATGTTCACAAAAAGGAATAATGTAGATCTTTTGCTTTTAAAAATACAAAAGCAATAAAAGAAAACAAGCAACAAAGAATGGCTGGAGTTCAGGTAACAAGCCTCTTAACTGGAAGGGGTGCTGTTTGTAGTCATGGTGTTTTAGGTGGTGGTAATAACTCACTCCCGTCATTGAATTCCAAGTCATGAACTAGGAGTGTAAAGGAAAATAAATACTACAATGTTTTTTTTTTTTTGTTTTTGTTTAGTTTTGTATTATTCCCTTTTGAAAGAAATAAAAAAAAAAGTAAGAGACAATTGGGGATTTAGGAGTTACCAGGGGTAGAGTAGTGTTATAAACAGATAAGTAAACCCAAAGAGAAAATCACAAAGAAAATAAGAAAAATACAAGGTTGTGGAAATTAAAGGGGAAGGAAGAAAAAAACAGATAGAAACGTGTATTATAAAACACTCATAGAGACAAGCATATTCATAGAGAAAGAATAGAAGCAAAGAGCAAAATAGCAAAATTTACAAGCTTTAGAGTGAATACGGTTCTGGAAGGCCACATTCAAAACAAGCTATCATATTTTACAGCTCATTCCAGATTTCAGTTATTTTTAAAAGCCTTTTTATTTACTGAAAATAATATTTTTACTTTTCTTTAAAACCTACAACTATATTTTTAAATAAAAGACCTTTTTTGTTTGTTTTTAGTTCTGAGACCTTTAAAATATCCAAAAGAATAACTTAATAGAAGTTAGCTTTTAAATCTGAAAGATATAAATTAGCATACTGTAAATTTAATGAAGAGTACTACGTAGGAGCTGACCTATATTGATTACTTCTATGAACTAGACATTACGTTAAATACTTTCCATGTGTTATCCCATTGGATAATCACAAGGACTCCTTGGATCCTCATTTTAAGAACGAGAAAACTGAGACTAGAAGTGTTTAAGGAACTTACTCGGTTAGAACCAGCTTTGTCAAACTCCATGGCTATCCACTCCGTTATACTTGTCTGTCAGCTTCTCACTTCTTACTGTTACTGGCTTTCACCCTCTGTAACATTTAGCACTGGTAACCATCCCTTCTTTGAAAAACAATTACTTCCAGTTCCCTGAACATGCCATCCTCTCTGGTTTCTGTACTGCTTCTCTGACTGACCACCCTCTTGTTTTACCCTAAACATTCACACATCCATGCAAACACACACATACCTATACAAATGCACCCACTTTATCTGGCTAGCTTTTTCTTGCCCCAGTCACTTCTTCTGGAAACCCTTTCTTAATCCCCTACAGCTTGTTTACCTGAGCTCCACTTTTTGCTCCTTACATGTGTTTGCCGATTTCTGAGATGTCTTTCTAAGATCTTTGCTACTGCAGAAGCCCTGGGCTTCCCACAGTTTCAGAACTTTTCCCCCTTTCTTAGTTTTTTTTTTTTTCTTTAACATCCTAAGAGTGGTATTGGAGTACGGTCAATAAATATATTCAGTCAAATCCCAAATACCCTTCCCTACCCAATATGCTCAGCAAAAAAGAGGAAGAGCCTCAACAGGATGGATTGACACAGTGGCTGCAACAAAGGGCTCGAATATAGCAACGATTTTGAGGATGGCGCAGGACCAGGCAGTGTTTTGTTCTGTTGTACATAAGGTCACTATGAGTCGGAACCCACGTGACAGTGCCTAGCAACAAAAACAAAAACCCCACGCTCACCATGAGATCACTCATTTCCAGCAGAACTAGAAAAAATGACTACCAACAAAATTTTCCATGGAACTTGGACAATGGAATCCATTT